TCACCCATCCTTTTATTAACCCAACTCGCTACTGCTTAGCTTCAGTGATCGCAGGTTACCTCGGTATCTTCTGCGCTGTACAGCTGCTTGTGGCGAGTCAAATTTTTTTTCGCTTGATATGCGCAATTATTGAGAGGGAGGAGATAGGGGAAGCATTGACGAAGATGAACAGTGGGGTAATATGGGATAACGGAGAGGGGCGGATGATAAGGGAAACTGGAATTAAATGGGGCAAAATGGGATACTGGGGTGGAGTGAACCAACTGGACAGCGGGGTAAAATAGGTGAGTCTGGCTAATATAAGGGTGGGGTAAAACGGGAAAGCAGGTTAGTTAGAGTGGGGCAAAATGGGATAGCGGTTAGATGAACCCGTAAAGTAAGCCGGAATGGTGAGTTACTCCGACAGTGGGGTAAAATGGGGTGAACTAAATGACAGGCTAATTAGCCGGAGGGGTAAATTGGGCGGCAGGTAAATTAAATACGGGTGTTTCGTGGGATGATCGGGTAAAATCGATAGCTGGGTAAAATAGGTGAGTCTGGCTAATATAAGGGTGGGGTAAAACGGGACGGTGGGGTACAATGAAACAGCCTGGCAAATTGGACGATAGTCAAATTTGACCGGCGACGAAATAGGACAACAAGGTGAATTGATAATGGGATAAAGGAGTAAGACAGAATAAGGGTTTAAAGCGGATCCGCCTCAACCCGTTATTCCGTCTATCCCGCTATCCCATTTTACCCCATAGCCAGGTTAGTGCGCCGACCAATTCACTTTGTTGTCCTATTCCCCCCCCCCGGCCCAAATTCACCCATGGTCCAGGCTGTTCCATTCTACCTCACCTTCCCGTTTTACCCCACTAGCTAAGTAGCCTGTCATTTAGTTCACCACTCATCCCATTTTACCCCACGATATAATTCGTCCATCACCCGCGATCACCAGATTATCTTATCTTGCTCCGTCGTCCAATTTATTATCCCCCCTCCCCATCCATCCTTTGTACTATATTATACTTGCTCCAGTGTGTATTTAATTAACAATTAATGAATCAATAATTAATTTTAGCGAGATCCTGATTATCAGTCCCGAAAATTCTAAGTCCCTATCTTTCAATGAGAGACTCTAGTCTCTACCGTGTTGGCGAAGATTCAGATAGACTCGAGTCTCTCACCAGACTCTCCGAGACGCGAAACCGGTTACGGAAGACCCAGGCAGACTGATTTTAGTCTTCCATAGTCTTGGAGAGATCCAATAGACTAAAATTTTTTATCCCGGGTAATAGTGACTAGTCACAGAGACTAGTCACTCAAGGTAGTATCACTCAGGATTGAAGGCAGTGAGTGAACTACCTAAAACGTCACACTCGTTAAAATTCTATTTGTTTTTTACGCAGATTCTATTAGATATTTGACAGGAAAAAGACAATAGATTTGGATTTTTCTGTTTGAGTTTTTCTGTTTTCTCTTGAGATTTTTTCTATTAAAATTATTGGGCACGGATTTTCTAAGTTTTTTCTGCTCTATTTTATTTTGTTTTGCATTACAGGATCCGAGTAAAAAAACTTGGAAAATTCATGCCCAAGTATTCTTATAGAAAAGAAATTTCAGGAGAATATTCATATAGAAAAATCGAAATCTATTGACTTTTTCATATCAAATATCTCATAGAATCAGCGCAAACAACAAATAGAATTTTAACGAGAATTCCCTAGAATTTTCTAGCGAATTGGTTAAGTTTTTCTATTGAATTTTTTCATATCCGTTAAAAAAAAATCACCGTTTTACAAAGCAATAATAAAGATTATTACGAAATTAAGCTCTCCTGCGAATCTGAAATGGACGACCTTTTTACACTTAAAAAAGATATATTTTTGGACTAGAAAATTCACTATTTAGAATCATTCATATATAAAAAATTCAAGTCTTTCAATTATTTTATAAATCTCTCTCAAAACTGGACTTTCTAATTTTTCCTTCGGATTGAAAAGTATTTCCCAACGGTTCCACGTATGAAAAAATCGTATAGAAATTTTCTATACGGATTGCGTATAGAAATTCTATAGGATTTCCGTATATGATATTCGGATATTTCTATACGAATATTTTCTATACGAATTATTTCTATACGTAAATTTTTACATAAATTTTTTTTTCATACGAAAGATGTCTAAACGGTCCAGAGAAAATACGAAATGTTTCTATACATGTGCCAATGGGTCGTATAGGATCAAACCTATAGAAATCGTATAGAAATAATTTGTATAAAAAATATCCGTATAGAAATATCCGAATATCATATACGAAAATCCTATAGAAATTCTATACTCAATCTGTATAGAAAATTTCTATACGATTTTTTCATACGTGTCGAAATGGAGACCTTCAGAGATCAAATAATAGAATAATTAAATAAAAATTGTCAACGTAGGTCAGCGAAAGCTCCAATGAAAGCTCCGACATCGACTCCTCCCAGAAAATCCCAATCATCAGCCCCACAACCCGAAAAACCAATAAAAAACGAATTGACAATCACCTCGCCCAATGAACCCCGTCACCTTACCTTCAATAATCCCCGGAGACCACTGAATTCAGTCTTTCATGTTGACGACCCAAGGGTGGGGGAAAATCACCTAGTACCCGTGCCGATAAAGAGCGAGCACGAGTCGAGGCGAAGCAGTGGAGTTACAGAGACATAATTCGTTGCAGTCCAGCTGAGAATTCGTGATTCCCTCGAACCGCCGAAAAAAAAAATTATTTTCAAAAAACAGATTTAAAAAGTGAGATGGAAGTCTGTGAAAAGAGTGAGAGTCCAAGTGAAGTGAAAGCAAATTCATATTCCGGATAGAATAAATTAACTCCCGAAATTAAAAAAACTCGATTTCTAGAATTAATCAATTAATTAAATCTCAATTAATCATGGAGGCTAATGGGGCCCCGGAGGGTAATGAGGTTGCCAATCAGAGTCCCATTGACCCGAAAACAATAACCCTCGAGGGAGTTGAAAAAACGGAGAAGAAAGGAAAAGATGAGACAGTGGAAATGGATTTTGATGATCTTCTGCCCTACGTTGGGGAGTTTGGACTCTACCAGAAGATTCTCTTCGTCCTCATGATCCCTTTCGCTTTCTTCGTGGCGTGGGTCTACTTCAGTCAGATATTTATTACTCTCGTGCCACCCGATCACTGGTGTCGAGTGCCCGGGCTTGAGAATCTCACCGATGAACAGAGGTGAGATGATGAGGGAGATTGGACGTAGGTTTGTCACTAATCTTGATATCGATCTTGATGCTCGATTTCATCGCGAAGATTGAGCGGGTTTATGGTCCAGCATCAGTGGCAGGGGTAGGGAGATTGTTAATTGCGTTGATGGGAGGTCGACGCCGTTCATTAAGGATATCCAACTACTTTGGCTATTTTTTCTCCAGTAGTGATGCCGCAAGACATTTCATGAGACATCACGAGACAAAACTTTGGAGAGATGATCTCGGTCTCAATGAACATGGAAGTCTTTGCTCTCGTCTCAGTCTCAAAATACGTAATATCGACTCCTGTCGTGATGACTCCGAGTCAATTTATTTCATCTCGAGACAAACCAAGACAAAAACCGAGATTTTATTTTAAAAAACACAAAAAACTTGCGACCAAGATGAGATAAATTGACTCGGAGTCGTCACGAAATGAGTCGATATTGCGTATTTCGCGACTGAGACGAGAGCAATGATTTCCGTGTTCATTGAGAACGAGATCATCTCTCCAGTTTTGTCTCGTAAAAGGTCTCGCGGCATCACTATTCTCCAGTGAAATGATTTTCTACTGTTGTTATGGAACATCAGAGCTTCGATTTGTACCGCATTTGACCCTGAGTTTCCTGACATTTTACAATGATTGCATTATTTAAACTTTGCAAATTTGCACGCGCGACAAAATTTAATAGAAAAACTCAGCGAATTCCTTAGAAAATTCTATGGGATTTCTATTGAAATTTCTATTAGTTTTTGGCCGATTCTATTGAAATGTTCGATAGAAAAAATCAATAGAATTCGATTGTTCTTTATATATCCTTATTCTCTTTGGATATTTTCTATAGAATTTTTTCAATAGAATAAATTGTATAGAAAAATCGAATTCTTGAGTATTGTAAGAGCTATAATCATACGAAATTTCAACTTGCTTCTTAATCTTCATTTTTTCTCAAGTTATCGTGCACACAAGAATGAAAACATTTTTAAAACGAAAAAATGACTATATCTTGAAAATTTTGTATGAATGGGTACAAAAAATTTTGACTGATCTAGATAGAGCCATCGAGACGAGTATTTTGAAAAAAAAAACATTAAAACCAGTGCAGTAGTTTTTACGATATTGAGGAAAAACGAAATTTAAACAAGTTGTTATATCTTAGGAACTACTGGACCGATCGGGCTGAAACAGCGCGCCAAAGTTGAGCTCAATCATAGCTACAACGATACAAAATTTCAGATTTTCATCTACAAATTTCCCTGCATTTATGTTGACTTACCCAACAATTAATCATCAAAAACTCAAGTTGTCACGTATATACACGCAGATATGACACTAGAAGCATCATTTCTTCACGTTTTATGACATTCTAGATCATTTGTAATCAAAATTATAAAATCGGAAAATCTGTCGAATACAGGGCTTCTATTCGGAAGAAAAAGAATAAAAAACCCCTATCATTCAAATCGCCAACATGTCTAGAATTAAATGTTCTCATCAGGACAAAAATCATAAAAGTTGGATGAAAAAGTCCTCGTAATTTTCGGAAATTGTATTTTTAAAATTATTTCATCAATTTTCCCCCAAAAGTAAACTTTTCAATTTTTTTCAGATTTTTAAAATGTTTTCCAACGGTTCAATATCGAGATTCAAATGCGGACCTGCAAAGTTTAAATAATAAAATCATTGTAAAATGTCCGGAAACTCTTTTACAAAAGAAAAAAAGCATTTCACTGGAACAAAAATAGCCAAAGTACTTGAATATCCTTAACTATTGGAGTTTTCATGTTATATCGACCCATTATGATCCAAAAAGTGCAAAAATGCAAATTTTAGACCGTGTCCGGGCGTATGTCTGCATGTAACAACGTTTTTCAACAGTGGTTGGCTAAATAATCGATGAAATTCAATCGTTTTCGTTTTCTGCATGCAGAATCAACCTTTACACTGCACCCCCACCGCCCCCGAAAACGCACGGCTACTGTACCCCGCGGTCTGTCAGACTACTCCGTTGGGCTCGCATTTGCCGTTTGTTTGAGTGAATGAATCAATACTTTTGTAACTGAAGGTTTAAATGAGGGCTAAAATGGGAAAGTGTCAAAGAAGGAAGGGCTGAGAAGAAATAGCAAAATGTATGAGCGTAATTTAATTAAATTTTATGAGAGTGACATTGAATTGGATTTAGCGAAAAAATGGTTATGAAATTTCGAGTTTTAAGTAGAACTTCCAGAAATTCATGAGTTTTCAGTGGGAGTGAGATAGAAATTTCACTACTTGATTGAATTTTGAATGGAACATGAATATTGAGAAACAAAATGACACGAATTTTTAAATTTCTCTGAATTTTCCTGATTTTTCTGAATTTTTACAGAATAATTGAACTGAAAAATCAAGTATTTTATTGATTTCCAGATCATTTAAACAAAAAATTAATGGAATATTTGATTTTTCAATGACAAGATTTTCTGAAATTTCAGTGGAACTTGAACGCGACAAAAATTTCCGGAGTTTGGCACGGAAAATTCAAACGAAAATGTTTAACAGTGCGCTCAGTGTTTTATATTGATTGGAATCGATGAAATAGGAAGCTACTGAAAGTTTGAAATTCTTTTCTAACATTTATCAATGGTTACACACTGTGAAAGTTTTGATAGCGGTCTCACAGACTGACATTGCGGTGCGAAGGTTAATACAACAGCTAATGGTTATTATATCATTCAACTCATAGTTTGATGAATGGAAAGTTTGATAATTGAGTTTTGTTTTCAAATAAAAGGAAGACTTATTTTGTTCTTCCGAATGGAATTATTGAAAGAAAATTTATGAAATTAATTACTAATTACATTACCTATTTGGAGCTATCGGAACACGTATGAAAAAATTCAATAGAATACCTTAGCGAATTCGCTAGTAAATTCTATTTCTTTTTTGCGTAAATTCTATCAGATATTTGATAGGAAAAAGTCAGTAGATTTCGATTTTGATATTTGAATTTTTTCCTTGAGCTTTTTTCTATTGAAATTATTGGGCATTGGGTGATTTTCTACATTTTTTCAGCTATATTTTGATTTATTTTGCATTGCAGGATCCGAGTGAAAAAAACTTGAAAAATGCATGTCCAAGCATATCAAATATATCATCGAATCAGCACATAAAACAAACAGAATTTTAACGAGAATTCCCTAGAATTTCAATAGAGTCCCAATAGAATTCTAGCGAATTTGCTAAGTTTTTCTATTGAATTTTTTCATACGTGGAACTACGGAAATTCTTCGGGATCAATCGAATTGCTCCCAAAATATCCCAGATTTGATGATTATCATCACACACATTTCTCGATCACTTTATTCTCATCCCTAATGAATATCATTTCAAGGTCGAATTAAAGTCAATTAAAACATCTCGATTACTTTCCCAGAAATACATTTGAGTTGATCGTGTGCATGTCTGATATGCATTATTCCACTGCACGCTCACTTCCAATTAAAGTAGTATGAATAAACTCCATATTTGAGTCGTTCAGTGTAACGAGGAAAAATAAATTCAAAAAGTCAAAAAAAAATATTCATCATTGATAATTTTTCCCATGTATTCTAACTTCAATGAGTGCAAGAAATTGGTCCATCAATTGGTCCATCATTGGTTCTTCAATGACTTTTTAAAACAATAGTCTCTTATTTGACTAGGGTATTTTGGTATGATGCGCCATTTCGGGCACGCAGAAACATAAATTATTCATTACAAAAGTTTGACACTGACAACAATATCCATATTCGATATCGAATTTTTATTCTAATTTTAACATTCTCTAATTTTCATTGGAAATGATGTACAATGGTCGAAACGTAAAAATACGAAGTTTGGCGACCTTTTCTATATGTGAGCATGCATGGAAAAAAAAACCTGAATTGAGTATAAAATACACTTGAATCAAGTATATTTTATGTTATACTTTATGTATATTGTACGTCTGTACGACTTCAAATTTTTTCTGCACTTGATACTCATTTCTATTCAAAACAATGAATTACGGAGACGAATTAATCCAGGCGGAATAACTGGATTCTACGTAAAAATGACATTTATTGCATCAGTGAAACAATAGCCTTATTCTCATAATCTGAACTTGCAAAACTGTGGATTCCCACACGACGATGATAATCCCCCGATGGATATTTTTATAACACGTATCGATTTTCTTATTTTTACTTCGCCTTGTTTCACTTGCATGCTAATTTTATTGGCAATTTACTTACGCTGTGGTGGACGTTGATATTGGTTTTTAATGAAGGAAAATGCGGGTCGTTACGTGGAATATGAAGTTTTATATGTTGTGGGAGTGTTTGAAACGATAAACAAATGTCGGAGGGAGAGGGAGCCAAGGTGATGCGCCCACTTTTTTCAACGGTGAATACCTTTGTGAACGAAGAAGAGAATATGAGGAATTGATTTTTAAAGGGCGAACGATTTGTATGACTAACGAAAAAGGTATCAACCCTTATAGTTTTATTTGACAATCAGAACAATCGTCTATTGTACACGGAGAAAAAAGGTGGTTAAAAATTACCTCGAAAATCGTGACAAATTTTATTATACGAATGGTAATCTGGAGGAAAATGTAATTCAGAGAAAAAACAAGCAGTTGACCGAGCCTATTCGGCAGAAAATATTTGACCATTACTACATGCGTTAGTTGTCTTTTTTATTTTTCATTTCTACCAATGCCATTGGTAGTCAGCTTTCGAATGGATCCATAGCCATTATATTGAAAAATAAGATAAGTGTATCATGAAGAATCGATCAATTGAAAATTATACAAGATAATGTGTTATAGAAAAATTGCTTTTTTTTAATCATCAGATTAGAAACCAATAAAAATCCTAATCAGTTCTTCGAATTTCCACAAAATTCCTTGAATTTCCTCTGAGCTCCATAAGAGGGAGATCGTGTCAAATTTTCAAGGTAATATCTCAATTTTTGTGAAGGGT